ATTATTCCTATTTTTGAATACTCTCAATTAAAGTGGCTGATGGCTAAAGAATGAATCGCCTAAAATGGTGATGTGATTAAAGTGGTAAGGTCTTTTCATGCAAAATTTCGATTAACATTGAGCCAAGTGCAGTTATAGTTCTATAGCAGTTTATTAGACGAGATCCTTGAATCACCTTATAGACCATTCCGAATGACAAATATGAATCTGTTGGGAAGTCTAGATATTTATTATTGCCGTTCTTGTAAGAACCTTCTGATTTCAATCCCATGCACTGGATTGCCGATTTGAGTGCTTCCACGCAAGTGAGCTTGAATTTGGAAGACTACCTGTTAAAATAACGTAGCTGAAATAATTGACCAAGCCTGTAGCCAATGATTTATAGTTCATTTCTAACCTACATCAGTAAATTAACCTAGCTATTCAAAACTGTCTTTCATTTTGTTATTTTTCGAGCTGGGTATTTGTGGTTTTAATAAAGCGCACTTTAGAAGTCATGATTGCATCAAAGGACAACCACCAAGCTAGAGACATGACGAAGGATAGCAGTCTTATATCCTAGTGTGAAGTTTCACATTCTTTGAAATATGCTTTGAATGGAAAATATCATCCATTTTTAAGGCTACAGAGGAATCAAGCAGCTGAGTTGACCTTTAGTATTTGTCTATTCCTCATCACAGAGTAGCGGACAAAGTATAATTTGTCCCGCAAATACATATGTCTATCCAGTCTTGAAATGATAGAAATCTAAGAAACACTCTGGAAAATATACTCTCCTTCGGATAATTGAGTCATAATCATGAGGTGATCCCATTACCTTTTTAGCAAATGAACCTAAACGGAAACTACACTGAAGGTCAATTTGCAAATAGTTGCTGAAACTTGATGAACTATTCTTCATTAAAGGTTTCTAACTTGGTTAATGCAGCATACATTAGTCTAATAGTATTTATGCTAGTTTGAAAATCCATTTCTAAAGTACTCCTATTCCAACAATTAACGTAAATTGTTGGCCCATGGTTTTTATTCTTCTAATTAAAAGAGGAATGTAAAGAGCTAATTTTACATATATTTAATGAAAGCCAGCAAGAAAAGCCATTTTGTGGTCAAAATATCAAGAAAGAGAGAGGAACTTGACGAATTAGAGTGGTATTAAGTAATTAAAGTTGATAAGATCATACCATTTTCATATATAGGAATTGGATAAAAGGACAAATTTGGCAAATGGGGGAGAAAATGTTTTTGCTTTAAGGTAAGTAAATAGGAGAGGTAACTAAAATAATAGGAGGCTACGTGAACTATTAAAGGCAATCTGGATTCTATTCAAATGTGAACATTTCAAAAATTATTCAGGGAAAGTAGCGAGGCTCAAATTCATTTTTCCCGAACCAGGGCCAACCATGGCACGACTGACATTAAACTGATCGTATGAGAAGTATTGCAGCCTCTGGAAGTCGATTGCGAACATCATGGAAAGGTGTTGAATATTTGTAAATATGTTCTAAATATTTGACACATTCTTGAACATATAGTAACTTAATGGATTCAGACATACCGCATGCTTAGTCTGTTGTTAACGTCGTCCAGACTTAGGAAATACAGGACAACTAGCCAGTAGGCATTATCTATCTGCTTAACTGGTACGACGAAACAGGATTGTCTATCTATTCCGCTCGAAAATATCTCAAGTGTGGATGATTCATCGATGTTAACGGGAACTTGGCAGGAGCAAACAGTGATCATAGGCCTAAATTTTGCTTGAATTACTCCTATTTTACACGTATAATTAAATTCATCTCAATTCCAGAGTAAATACACAAGTTAGTTCTTTGCAATTTAAACACAGTGGACGGGAGTCCTCATCACTCGCATCGATGGATTCAATGCGGACCCGTTAAATAGTAGACCCAGATAATTTTAGAGCATCTGGAAGATCCTAAATGTGCCTAATTTAAGGAAATATAGTTGATCAAACTGATAAATAGTTACCAAATAAGCGAGCGCCTTACTACTTTACCCAACATTCTATTTCAAAAGGACATTCGATACTAATTAAAAGTATGTTGAAATATGGAGGCCTTGTCGCACTGCAAGGGGGCGAAAGTTATTGAAACGTGGGCTCGTTTTCACCAAGGTAATTTGACAAATTAGCGATAGAAAATTTGACCTAATATTTTAATTTGCATTCGTCTGCATTAAAGAATTAGCGTTACTTAGTTTTAGTTGTACATACATATATTTGTCTATTTTACTTAAAATTACTTCAATATTTTTCTCCATCCACTTTTATTGAACTCCGTTATCCAATAGGAAAAAATGAATAAATCAAGAAGGCAATAAGTTTTTCGCTTTGAGGCTTTCTGAACGTCTCCATTTTGGACGATGAAAGTGATTTTAAGCGCAAGTTTATTCATCAGGGGAATTTCCGAAATACGGACAAATTAAGCAAAACCGGTGACCAGTAGACACATTTTACTTGGCGATCATTTCTCTTTCTCTGTTTTGTTTTACTGTCGCGACGTACTATGTTCCATTATCAAGGTTGGGGAAAGTACAACGCTTACATGGCCGAATCGAGTATTCTAGAACGGAGGGGTTGGGGGGGTGTTACTGACCCGTAGCCACCGAGTACGGCTGTACTGATGGTAGTTTTAGGGAACTTGTGAGGTAGTGAGTGCGGAGAGCTGTCAGCCAATCAACGGTCGGAAGTTATTGCCTGATCAGGGTAGTCGACATTGTAATTCATAACTAAGCTATACGTTAGCGAGGTGTTTGCACCACGCGCCTTTTTTCCTCGATATTGTTTAATCAATTTGGTTAATTTTCCTTCTGTGATGATTTTGCATAGAGCTACCTAGTTAAACCGGTGGAACAATTTGTATTTGGAGACCATTTCTTTTAATTGTATATTTAAAAAAAAACAGGTTTAAATTTGCTTGAGCCTAAAAGAAGCTACCATCCAACTACTCGCAAGTATACAATGCCATCTCGATGGTGATTTCATTTGCTATTTTTCACACCAAGAAACGATTACAATGAATGAATTCCTTAAGGGGGTATTCTGGTCTAGAGACATGAATTTTAGGTCATGTTTGAAGTGCTGTAAAAAAGCAAGCAATACTTTTATTATCAATTTTTTATACATGTTTCATTCACATTAGAAGCATACAAAAAAATAAAATATTAAAAAAATTAAAATTTCGTTAGTTATCAGTTGATGGAGTGGGACGTCTTAAAAATATGGTACGTGACCATACCCACGATTTTAACTCTCCACACAATCTGAAATCAAATAAAAAAGATTATCAATCTACAATTATGTCGTTATGCCCGGAACTACGGAAAAGTTCTAGAAATATTTTTTACAAAATGGCGACTGTCCAAAGAAAAAACCATTTTTGTGCCACTTTTTTTTGATTTTTTAAAAATATTAAAAATGAAAATTTGGTAATGGCCGTAGTTCCGGACATAACCAAGTCCCTAAAGAAGACTCTCCTAAAATTTCAAATAAATCGGTTTCGGCAGAAACTGAGAAATCGTGTTTATCAGATTAAAAAACAGTTTTGAGAAAAGCGCGTTTAAAGATTCAAGTAAATTTTTTTGCTGTCTAAGTCATAAAATTATATTTTTAACTTATTATTTATTTCAAATGGCGGGCTTTATGACACTTATCATTAGTCCTATATCTTTAACTTACATTTATTCAATCTGCCATTCTAGCTGTATACATTGAACCTTCCTCGACTTCGAAATAACTATTTTCGGCGTCTCTGTTTTCTATTCGAGCAGTTCTGACCTCCTTTGATGCGCTGGATGCCCATATCTCAGAGCGGTCAATCCGGGCTTTGTCTCGTCTGAGAACAAATGCATGCGTTTCTGGACCCATTTTCACTTCCATAATCGTCATAATCTTCAATATCGGTATAAATTCTTCATTAAATCACACGCAGCACTAAATGTTGCAATTTAATGATCTGAGACCCGGAATGGATATGGTTTGGAGCGAAAGTTCATATCAGCGTGTTTAGAGACTCATTATTATTTTGACTTTCTGAACCCAAACATCGAATCAAAAACTCTTCTGATGATAATCTTCGAAGGATTTGTCAACGAATGGACATGATGGAATGTAGCGCTATTGAACTCGAGTCCGCGTTAAGCCGTTCTTGAAAATATAATCTCGTTGTTGTATGAAGTACACGAAATAAACAAATAAATTGCTGAAAAGACCGTGAAAAACTCCAAAACACAGTAGTCGTAATTACTATCTATAATTACTTCTTCGTCATTTGATTTCCTCAGTTTTGCCGCTGATGCACTCACAAAACTGGTGTTTTCCTGTTCCGTAAATCAATCGCCGTGAAATATATTGGGTGGGCAACTAAGTCATTGCCGTTTTTGTTGACGGATTCACTCATTATTACTGTATGGGCTTCTAGGTTAATTAGTAAAAATTTTTTCGTTTAGCTCTTTAGTTTTGTTTTTATCTCAATTTAAAAATGTTTAGTTCTTTAGTTTTTTTAATCCCAATTTAAAAATGAAAGAACAGGACGTGCACTTCCGACACATTTTATTGTATTACTTCCGAAAAGGCAAGAACGCATCGCAAGCACAAAAGAAGTTATGTGCCGTATATGGAGATGAAGCCTTAAAAGAAAGGCAGTGTCGAAATTGGTTTGAAAGATTTCGTTCCGGTGATTTTTCACTGAAAAATTCACAACGATCTGGCCGCCCAGTCGAAGTGGATGAAACCCATATCAAGGCCATTATCGATTCAAATCGTCGCAGCACAACACGAGATATTGCAGAGAAGCTCAATGTGTCGCATACATGCATTGAAAAAAAATGAAAAACCCTTGGTTATGTCAAGAAACTTGATTTAAGGATNCGTGTTTAGAGACTCATTATTATTTTGACTTTCTGAACCCAAACATCGAATCAAAAACTCTTCTGATGATAATCTTCGAAGGATTTGTCAACGAATGGACATG